CCCGAGGGCCAGGTGAAAGGGAGTCCTTTCTCTGACATGTATGTTCATTTGTACAAACATACAAAATGTTTACACTTTTTATATTAACCTTTTTTAACAGAATGTAAACATTTTTAAAACTTCATTGTATTAAGAGATACAATGATGAAAAGTAGAGTTCTGAGAAAGTCCTAATTACAGACTTTGAGATGAATGTTTTCATTTTCTGAAACTGCCCAAAGCTAAATGAACATTAATTTTAATTAGTGAATTATTCTAGGAAATATTTTCATTGCCTAGTTGAAAATACATCTGTAAAAATAATGCAAACAACAGTAACCAAATATTTTACAGAACACAAAGGCTACATCCCCAATACTAACTGGATTTAATACTGTCGTTCCATAGGTACTCTCATTTTTCAAAAGAGCTTTAAAAAAAATCCCTGATGATAACATGTCATACTTCAGAAGAAAATGAAAGAGGCAGTAGAGCAGAACTCAGAAAAAAAAAAAAAAAACAAAGTTTCAGCACAGACAACGTACATTAATAATACACAGTATATGGTGGAAAAAAAAGACAAAAAGGTGTTTTTGGCTAAAGAGCACCTTTACTTCCCCTAAGCTCACTTCCATTTTGAAACACCTTAATTTTATTACAAAAGCTCAAAATCTAAAGTTTGGTAACTTAAAACTACTGAAAATATCCACTCTATAAGATTTAAAAGAAAACTGCTTACCGTAAGAGATCGATGAATTCTTTTTGATTTTAAATCCCAAATGTTGACAGTCCTATTGAGGCCTCCACTCGCCAAATACATAGATGTGGAATTTAAATCAACACACGTCTGCTTTTGCTGTTTTTTAAAACAAAAAAAGCTAATTTACTAGAGCCTAGCAATGACTTCCAATAGTAAGCACACACATAACTATGATAAAATCCCATTCTGAGTTACAGACTATAACCATGGCAACACATACTAACAAGTCATTAATGGCTTCCAGTCACTCCTAGAAAAGTTTAAGATTCAGCTCTCATCTTCCGTGCGGATCCAACAGCTTGCAAAGGTTTCCAGAGAACAAGGTCTTAAGGAAATGAGGTCAGCATTCTTTCATGGAGGATGGTGACAGGCCAAGCTGAGGAAACACCAGCAAGTCCAGACCTCCCAACAGAGGCCACTTAATATTTAATATAGTATTTCCCCTCTATGTACATTTATGCAGTATATAAATGTATTCTTTTTTTTATTTTAGGACAAGGTCTACAGGGTCTCACTGCATAGATCAGACTCCTAGTGATCCTGTTTACAGCCTCCCAAGTGCTGGGATTATGGCACGCACCACCACACCCAGTCTCAGCTGCCATCTCAGCATGCCCCGGGGGCGTGGCCAGCAGGCAGGCCCGGGGATCCAATCCCAGGCACATCCACTGAGCTGTTTGGCCAGCCCTTAAACTCTTCTGTTACAAGAAACTTGTAGATTGGTTCAGAATAAAATAAACAATGAGATGCAGTTAACAAGAGATACACCTAAAACCATTAACAACTACTAATTAAAAGTAGATTCAAAGATTTGCCAGGAAAATGCTAATAAAATGTGATACGAGAATGTTAATGTGAAATAAGATAGGAATACAAATAAACTGCATTCAGTAGGGGTAAGGATGGTTTTGATTAACCTTCCAGCATATCACTGTAGTTGTGTTTATGTTTATCTCTTTTGTTTGCTTCTTGAAATGCATCTTCATTGCTTAAATGCTTTGGTACATGTGTTTAAATTTCCGGAGAGGTTGAATTAGTCTTTCTCTGAAGGTTTCTTCTGCTTTTTCTTCCTCCTCTGGCTTTTCCATCGACTTTCGTCTTCTTTAAGCTTTGGCTCATTCTTCTTTTCTGTTTTCTTTTTTCTGCAATTTTTTGGCAGTGTTTCACGTTTTGCCTGTTTGTTCCATCCCACTCCATTTATTCCCCCTTTCCTCCTCTTCTCCTGCTTATTCCTCTTTGAATACAGTTACATCTAGTACCAATCTGGTCAGTTTCTACCTCCTTACTTTTCTAGCCTTGAGCAGTGCCAAGACAGACGTGTAAAATTCCAGTAAGTCCACTCTTCCTTTCTCTGGCCTCTGGTGCTACCATCTGCACTGTGGAAGGAAGCTGGTACCCAGATGGGAGCAAAGATCAGACTAACCTACACTGCTTTGCTTTTTTTTTTTCTTTCTTTAAATTAATTTTATTGAGAAACAAATAGCAATGAGACAGTTTCAAAACAGGTCAATAGGACAATAACAATGATTAATACATTGCATATTATTGTCATTGTAGTAGTTACTCATAGTACAAGATGCAAACATGATATCCTGTCCAAACACTATTAGTACAAATCTTTCTTCTCATTGAATTAAGAGAAAGTAGTGGTATATCTATCCATATATATATCTCCACAAAATGGTCCTTGATTTATATCCCTCTTTTTTTGTTTAGCTTTGTCAGAGATGAGTATTCTACTGCCATTTAAATATTATAGGTACATGAATTCAGCAAAATAATGTTGTATAGTCTAGTAGTCCATAATAGTAGTGGGTTATCCATAGGACTGGCAATGTCAGAAGTTGTTGACTTGAACCTTTTACAGCTCAGCATATTAATATGGCTATATTTTTTGGGGGGGAACCATTTTCTCCCCACTTCATTGATTCTCCAGCCACACTGACCTTTCATTCTGTAACCAAAACAATCCTGTGTTTGCCTCAAGGCTTCCACACAGCTGTGCCTGCAAAGCTAAGGCCCCTGAACCCCAGTTGGCTGCCTTCCGAGCACCACATATCAACTCTTCAAGAAACCTGCCTTGGCCTTAGCCTCCTAGGGCAATTTGCTATGGCAGTATCTCACTTTAGTTCTCAGTACCACAAACTACCAATATCTAGATGTTTTCGCTGATAGTGTATTCTGCCACCAGAATATCAATCTCAGTAAGAACCGTATCTATATTCAGTAAGTATTTATGGAGAGAGTGGCTGAAATACAGAGGTTATCAAGTTCTTCACTCAAGTACCAATGAATGCACCTGCCTGGTGGCACGCTCAGGAAGCGCACTACACCACAGAGCACAGGACTCCACGCATTTCCCTGCTCAACCAATGGAGGCACTACAGCAGCGTTCTCATCTAGCTGAATGCTATGGGGGCGGGCGAGGATCATGACTTAGTTCTAAGTTCAAAGGAAAGCTACGTAGATTAAGCATGTAACCTCACATTTCTGGGTGTGTGTTTCTCATCTAAGAAATGAGAGATCTTCACTGGTTCTTTAGTTTTTATTGAGAATTTTTTCTAAGAGTTCTTACCCTGAATTCATGCACCTCAAAAATATCTGCTCAAGATATTAAGGGAGTAAATGGTTCCCCTCATACCAACCTGTTGAACTACTCAACAGTCAATGTTTCAGCTCTAGACCAAGAGGATCAACTAACACACTAAAAACTGCAGGATACACATTTCATCAGTGTTTTAGAACAGTTGTAAGGATTTTCTTATAGGTAGTATCCTAGAAGCTGACTCTGATCTAAAGACTAGTGAGATGTAGAATTGGAATGTCACTGCAAATCAGGACAGTTTTCTAAAAACTATCAAAATTACATTTAGAAAATAAAGTCAAATGTTGTTACCAAAGATATATATTGTGACATCAATTGTCACAACTATACTACGGGCTCCAGATAAAATCTATACTTACAGTTGACTTCTATGAATGTATTAATGAAGCTAATGAACTTAAATAATTAATAGAAACTATGTGGTTATTACAGGAATCCTGTGCCCCCAAGGGATAAGATGGTAAGACGGTGAGGGTAAACCCAGGGCACGTGTACTCAGCCGGCTGTCTTGGTTCTAAAAGATCTAAAACGTTTGCATCCCTGACAACACAATGGGCACAATTTCTAAAATATAAGAATAAGTTGGTCAAAGTGCTTAGACTTTTAGTAGCCCATTTCATCTACTATAATACTGTCAAAATCAATCTTTATACTTTAAAGAAGTAAAATATAAGATTATAAATAAATAAACATGAACTTGAAGTTCCATTCTAATTTTAAAATAAGTAGGGTAGAATCTTAGTCTCCCATGCAGAAAAGATCTAATTCCTCTACCAGCTCCTGAGTTACAGGACTGGAATCTCATCTAGAAAAAAAGAAAAAAGTTGCACACTAATATGTTAGAAATTCTCAATAAAAACTAAAGAACCAATGTTTATAAAATATTTTTATAAGTTAATTACTAGAGAGTCAAAATTAGAACTATAATCATCTCACTTTTGTCCCCATGCATTATGATGTGATTTCTTAAATACAGGGAAAAGGGCTGAGAGTTACAGCAATTAATTAGTAATATTCACATAAACTTAAGAGTTATGTCACACTTGCAAATAGCATGTTAATTTTGAACATTAAAAAAGGTCCCAAAGCCTGATTCACTGGTTCTAAGGCATGATGCATGACAATGAAGCAGTAGCGAAATACAGTAGTGGATGAGGTAGAAGACGCTGCCGCAGATACTAGACCCCAGTGTTGCTAAGCCCTGGCGCACCCCTAAGGTGACTAAGCTGCTAGGTCTCCTCGTGCACAGTGCACAGTAGCGGGACACTCTCTGCCTCAATCTCACTTAGCTCTACCTGAAGAGGCAGGTGCCTGAATTCCATGTCGGCCCTCTGCAGACATTTTCTCCCAAGCTCTGTCTGCAGGACGGAACTAAGCTGCACACCAATCCCTATTTAATTTAGGAAAAGATTGACAAAATAAGTTCTCCAGGAAGTATAACTTTTAACACTCAACAGCACACAGTAAGGTACCTAAGGCTGAAAACTATACATTTTGAAGTAGCTGACAGAGAGATTTTGAATGTCCCCAGTGCAAAGGAACAGTAAAGTTTTAAGGTAAAAGACACACCATGTACAGTGTGTACATGCACTGAAATATCAAAATGCACCTGTACTGTGTCAAAAACATTTTTTAATTCTTAAAAATCATAAATCCTCTTAAATTAGCTGAGCTATATATTCTTATTATACTGTTTTCCAAGTGGACTGACTACCTTACCTATCCCAGCCTGCAGAACTATGAGCATTTATAATAATTTAAGATCTGCTACGCAAATTTTACTGCTTAAAAAAAAAGACAAGTTATCAATCACTTCCAACTTTATATTCAGAATTTACCTTTTTTTAAAAAAAGAAATAGTTTTCAAGGAATGACAATGAAAATCAAGAAGCCAGCATTATCCTGAATGAGAGGGATTAACTGATGCAACAAAAGGGTAAAGACAATGAGAGCTTCCCGGAGGCCTAGGAGAAAGCTCATTTTGTGATAAAGCCATCCTGTTCAAGGAGGGACTGAGGGAGGCTCAGGCCGGCCCCTGCGTCCTAGATGGACAGAATCTGAAGTACAGGGCTACCATGAGACACAGGTGCTTCACTGACTGTCCTGAGTCCAAGGTCACCGGGGGAGCTACATCACTGGGGTTCATACGGTCAGACCAAACTCAGCACCCAGGCACTACAAGTCCTACATCAGGAATCAACAGGATCCATCTCCAAAGAGGAAATGAAAATGCAGGCGCCTCGCTAAGGAAATCCAAGCCTCAGCTGCTCCCCTAGGATGCAGACATTGTACCTAAAGACGTTTCAGTACAATACGATGTTTCATACAATACTTTACCTGGACGTGTTAAGAGTCTCATTCTGAACCCAGGTGAAGAATGCTAGCAAGCACCTTTGTTTTTACTTGCAAGCACCACAATAAATAAGCAATTACAGACAGAACTAAGATTCTAAATGAAAATTTAAAAAATAAATAAATAAAAGGTACTTACCCCTTCGGCAAGCTCCAAAAGTGGAACAGGCTTACATTTGCAGCTTGAAACTACTATTTTGTCACCACTGGAAGATGCTGTTACTAGAAAGTTATCTAAATGAAGAGTTATGGAACATCAAACAGCCCAGGAGCATCAACAAGCACTAGACTACCACTATAAAAAGGACTCACACAAGTAAATGCTGAGAAGACACGCAAGTGACTACAGCTTACACATTAGCGTCTGAAAGTGGCTCGGTCACTAATTACCAATTCCCTTTACGCCTGCTACTGCAGGGAGAACTATCCCTCCTGGCTGGGCTATCACTTGAAAGCTATTTAACCCATATGAAATAGTACTCCATTTTCAGGGTAGGCCAGAAGGTCTAATTTTATCCATCAAGAACAAGAACATGATGAAAGTCGCACTGGCAAATACCAGTCTTTTCCTCGACCCTAACTGCTCCAGATACTTACTTGTTAACCCCGTGCTTGCTAACAATTTAAACAAGGAAGCAAAGGCTTGTACTAGCGATTTTCCACTAAAAAAAAAAAAAAAAGTGAACTGTCTTATTTTCCCAGGACTAGAATTTTTATGACAGTGTATTTCAAACTTACATGTTTTAGAAATATAGCAATACAGCCAATATACATAAGTATAATTAAATAAATGTCAGAAGAGTTACAGTTTGGCTTTATTTTAAATTTAATGTAACATAATTAAAAATTAATTTTATTTGAAGTAAAGTTACCTTAGTTACAGAAAATAACTGGAGTGATCAGGAAACCTAAGACAAAGCAAGTATTTTATTAAAATTAAAATGATCATAATATTTTTCATAATAAAAAGAATATGGATTTTCTTTTCAAGAGGAATTTGAGAGGCATAACAAGTATCAGAAGGTTAAATCTATTCTGTGAAACAAGCAAAATCTGGACACAGAAGCAATAGAGAGATGTTAATCAAACACTGAATCTAATCTGTATGACTTCAAGTAGTTTGCAGAACACTCAGGTATTTTGTGAGTAGACCATGGATTTTAAGTTTACTATATGATTTGAACAAGACCATTTTTACCTAGGTAGTAATAAACAGAAACAAAATGTATTTCCTTCCTTTCCTTGGCTTATTTAACCACACAAAAGGACTAAAACATGACAATCCAAGAGGTAAGAAATTTTTGAATGTCTCTTATAGTTTTAAAAGACATGAGAATACTACCTAAAAGAAACCAAAACTCAAAGCAGAATATTAACCTCCCTGGCACCTCAAACTACTCTCATTCTTGGAATCTACGCCCCAAGGACCCCAAGCGGCCGGGCCTAGCTTAGGAACGCCGTGCTCTTCACTCACTACCACCCACCCAACGGGCCGAAGCTCCTCAGGAACAGGACTAGCTGTCTGCAGGCGGTCAGCGCACCTGCTCAGACAGGAGACTCATAGAAATGCAGCACCTGACAAAGTGACAACACTAACTCACGGCTACATCTGTTCGTTGGTAGACCATTAAGGAACATACCAGGTACAAAAATAAATCAAAAAAATACTAAATCTTACTGAGAACCATTTCTTGTCTCTTTTATGATAGAATAAAAAATTAAGTTGTAAGCATAATGAAAATCTGAAGACATCAGCAACTTCATGGACCTGCAGTCTTTAAAATATCTTCCCTGCTACACAGTAAGAGTTCATCAAAAATGTAGGCATTCCCCTGCAGGATGGACCAGCACAGCAGTAAAAGTATTTCACTACTTTAATACAAAATCAAGGAATGAAGTAAATTTAATTCAAGAAGAAAAAAAGATGCCATTTTTGTTATGTATCTGCAATAGCTACTGGTCATAAGTTTAAAGATCTAATTTCTTTAATCAGAAAGTAGAATGTTAATCTTTTGGTATTGTTGAAACTTAACTTTTGCTTAAACAGCGTACGCGTGTCACACAAGAACAATTTCTAGCACACCAATTATACAGGCTATCTTCACAGAGTCCTAAGAGCAGAGTGCTATATATATAGGTTTAGGAGTGTTTCTCAACCTGGGATAATTCTGGTAATTCTGAAGACATTTTTGTGTCATTTAGTAGTAAAATTGTCATTTAAAAAAAAAGACAAAACTGGGTGCTTGGTAAAGGGCTCTTTCAGTAGGCCACGACTGGGACCTGCTAGCAACTAGTGGGCAACAGCCAGGCGGCTTCTAAATGTCCTGCAATGTGCAGGAAAGCCCCCACCGCAAAGAATTATGGGAACTAAAATGTCAGTATTGTCAGGGTGAGAAACGATTCACTCACCAGGCCAGGAAGGATATCAGAAAAGCTTAGGAAAGATCAATGTACACAATTTCACTGTATCTATCTAGGAAATGTTTACAGTATATCCAGAAGGAGAAACACAAATAGAACATCAGTAAGATGGGGGTGCAGGATAATATTTTTTTAAATCTCTTGCCATCTTCTCTATTAGTTTCTACATCAGATTTGTAAATATCCAAATGTAGATGCAAATTCTCGTTTCAAAACTTTCAGTTTTCCTGCCTGCCACAATCTACTGCATTATGTTTGGTTCAATAATAAGTGGTTGATAGGACAACTAATTTATGGTCTGAATCTAGAGATTAAAATGCAATTTTCGTAACATCAGTTTTTGAATAAAGTTGGTAGCAATGAATCCTGAAAAAAAAAAAAAAACCAACAGAGAAAATCAAAATGCATTCATGTGTACTATTTTCCAAAATTCCTATTTTACCTTATAGAGTAGCTATATAAAATACATTTCTTATCATGTGTCACATACAAAAATTCCAATGGTACTAGTTGCTATGTTAAGTAAAAGACGCTTATTTTAAACAATAAAAAGGATACTATTGCTGCTCCAACACACTGAACTAATGCCATGTGATGAAGTGTGCGGGTTGAATTTATCCACCAATGTCATAGACGAAGCATCCCATATTTTAATATCATCTCCCGATGAAGCAAATCTGAGGTTTTCCTGCATGGCTGCACCTACAAAAAGTTTAGAGCAATGTATCTTAAAAAAAAATTAAGGACAACCAAAAAAGAGCAACTGAAGCATCCAACATAAAGTAAATGGCTCTACCTGCCTTTCTTTTGCTCCAATGTCCTCACCACCAAGTAGCTGGGCTGATCTTTCTAAAACGTAGGCCAAATCACACATTCTTAGTTGATCCTTGTAATAGTTCCCCACACCAATTACAACAATGTCCAACGTCCTAACCCGCCCTGTAGTTCAAACATGTAATTCTAACATGAAGATTTCTTAGTCCAAGGCAGTCTAGAAGACAGCAGGCAAGGAAGTTGCTCTGGGCAGCCACTTTGCAAAGTAGCACATCTTACAGAGAGATAACAGGTGAGGAAAACTATGCTCAAAGCTATGCGGCAGAAAAAAGGACCTAGAGACCCGACTCCCCACCGCTGCCCAGCAGGGACAGTGGGAGGGTGCCAAGCGGCCAAGGGCCAAGGCGCTATCACTGACAAGTTCTTCGAACCATCAACAGAGTGGCCTTTGTGTCTCATAGACTCTGATTATGAGGGCAGTTAATGGCATGATCAATTAGGAATCTTTCATTCTCCAGATAAATTGCTTTCACTATGTTTAGACAGAGGCCAAGTCACTGACCCCAACCACTGACTCAAACGCTTCATTCAGAAGGATGCTTTTATTCAATCAGCACAATGCTGCTACACGCCCAGGAGGTCACCTGTTGAGGCGCTCACTGAGTTTCCACTTGATGACTTAGACAAATGCAACACGTGCCCGGGGGTCTCACGAAACAAGGACGCGCCGCGAAGGCGGACCGCTAGGGCCCGCACACAACCGCAAGCCGCGGCCCGCACGCGTCTATTGGGCGCAGGGGCGGAGTGGGCGGATCTCCCGGTCGGGCTGCACAAAACCCGAGCTCCACAGTACCTGCCCGGCTTCGGCGACGGCAGCGGTGGCCGAGTCTGCCCGCGTGTCCTACCCTGCGCGGGCACGAGGAGCGGGACCCTGCCACGCACCTGGAGGGCAGGGATGCCCCGGCTCTCTCGGGCCCCGTCCCCCGATCGCGGCCGGGACACCCGGCGGCTTCCGACACAATGCCGCCGCCACACCCGCCGCAGCCGAACTTCCCAACTTTCCCGGGCGGGCTCTCCGGGGAGCGCGCCACCGTGCGCCCTCCGAGCCGCCCGCGCTCGAGCGCCGGCCCCGGGAGTCGTGCTTCGGGTGTACGAGGAGCAGGGCGGACTTGGGGCGAGCCGCACACTTGCGGGGCAGCGCACCCCCGAAGTCGCCGCCGACCTGGCCCAGACGCCCGGGCCACCGCGCGGGC